TATATGTCGCCCTTTACCTGGCGACAGTCCAAGTTTCGCATGCGATGGGCCCGGGAACAGACCATGCGAATCATGCGAAGTGTGCGAAAGAGGCACTAGAAAGTCGGCCTAGGTGTTGTACAAAACACCCGTACGGCTGGGTGCGTAGTGCCCGTGCAGGTCTTGACTGCGGTGTTCAGTTGCAGTACAGCGGATTTGCTTTCTTACGGATCCGATCGTATGGCCAGTACTTTCGGATCGAACGATCTGTGTCCTTTCGGAAATTTGAATTCAAAAACGGTTGAACTGGGGCCAGCACCTTAGAGGCGCCAGGTCACTAGGTGCAGAAACGATGAAAGCTGGCAATTGCACAGAGAGCTTAGCAAGAGGGTAAAAAACATGGACGCCATTAACCCTTTGGTGTCTGCTAGTCCTTTTGAGCTGCAAAGATAGCTGGCAGGGGTTGAGGAGACACGGGATAACGGGAAATACCGGCCTGGCCTCAAAAGGGGGAAGCTAGGGTCTCTAGCTGGGACGGTTCTTGACATCCTGCAGGATCAAAGTGGAACGTAGGCTCCTGTGTGTTATATATATGAAGCTCTGACCCTGCAAAAATTGCCTCCCGAGTGCTCTCTGAATATTGCATTGCCCTTCTTGCCTTTGGGATCATCACATAATGGTGATTCTAGAAAGTCAGCCTCCTGCTGGACTTGGAGCAACAACAGTTCCACTTGTGAGGAGGAGGACGCGGCTGACAGCTGAAGCAAATGGTTCTGCCTCAGCGTTGGATGAAGCGGCTGGCCAAGCTGCAGGGGGATGCTCAGCGCACACAGTGGATCGATGTTCGGTCCAGCATGGCCGAGGGACCCACCGCTGCACGTCTGAATTGAAAGGGCAGTTTGCAAACCCTGCATGTTCTCTGTTAGATCTAAAGGACCTCCTACTCACAGGACATGGGAAAGGTCAGCCCACAGACCTGTTGTCCATCTCTTTTCATGCGGTACACCATGTCGCCGTGCTTGAGAGCTGCCAGTCTTCTGTCCTTCAGTGCTCATGGCAACCAACTACCTAGTTTTACTTAGTCACAGCAGACAATATTCTGCATCTTTGAGGTCCTTAGAGATGGCCCAGGACGTTGATTTAACTGTCGAAATTGGAGAATGATATATGTTCAGTGTCATTCCTCTATTAGTCAGGGCCCTTGACCTAATCCAGAAAAGAAACACTCTAATAACCTGTACTGACTGGCGCTCGCTGCAAAACAAATCCATCTTAGTGTGGATTTGACATCCCCTGCGAGCACCTTTCAACCGCAGGGCTGCCCTCACGGCCACGTACCCAATGTGTTTGAGGCTGAGCTCAAAGGTGCAAGCACTGTAGGCATGGTAGATGAGGGGTCGGGCAGGCCTGACTTTTTTGTGCTCTGATGGGCATGGCAGGAGACCTGGCTTTCAAAGCGGATATGATAGTCATTTAAAGTCAGGTGTTCTTAGCAGTGACCCAATAATGCAATTATCTAAGATTACTTGCACCGGGGCGGCTTATCCTAGCAGACGCTCCGTGATCTGACATGTTGGTTCGATCATCTGGTATGCAGATCTCCATGGCATCCAGTGCGACAGCTGCGCGCTTGCAGCGGTTTGCGGGCGCCGTGGCGGCCAGAAGGGGGGGGCTACTGAATGGCGCTGTGAGGAACATCAGGATCGACTCCCTGCTGGAGCGCGGAGTGCGGCGTCCGCTGGCTACTTCTCAGTTCACAAGAGCTGGGAAGGTAGAAACTCTTCGACATTATTGCATTTTTAAAAAGTTTGGGAGCTTTGATCAGTTTGAGCTTGCTCGTGTCGTCTGCTTTCGTTCTCTCATAGGAATCATGCATTCAAAGATGACCTTTCTGGGGCAGGTCATTCTGCTTGGTCATCCATTACACCTTCATTCTCACATTGCAAATGGAAGAAGGCTATCTTTGAAAAGCACTACAAGCATAGACTGCGCTTGACGAACGTTTACCCTTTGCTGTTACTTGGAATACGGGAAAGGCTTGTCTGTGCAGTAGCCAAAGTCTGCCCGGCATTGTGAGCTGCTACGTCCCTCCAACGTCCAAGATCACCATCTGATGGGCTGCCACGTGAAGCAGTACTCCTCTCCTTACAATCTGTATTCTAGTTTCGAAAATCAAGAGGCTTGAATCGAGTACCGACATGGTCATAAATCTCGTACAGAGTGGCTCAAGCGCCGGGAAGAGCGAAGGTGCCAACTGAAGGAGGCGCTTGAAGGGGCGAAGCAAGAACAACAGAACCATATTCGGAAGCTCCAAGAGCTGCATACGGCTCTTGTGCAGGACGCGCTGGCGCCAGCTCGACACATTCTCAGTGAGTGCCCTATGCAAAGATGTGTACTGTTCATCCGAGACAGCTTTTTGACAGAGCGAAAAGGTTTTCACACGTCCGATCCAAGGTAACGCCGTGTACAAATGGAAGAGAGTGCTACTGTGTGTGCGGCAGCCTGCAATAAAGCTTTCTAGTCGTTCCTTGAACTTGCAGTACTTAGCAACAATGGCCGTTATTCAACCAGTGAAAACAGTGGATTCCGTGAGAAGCGTACGCTCTTTTTATTGCAGGGTGGGCTGGTTGTGAACGCTTGCGGAGGTGCTTTGCTGAGTATCAAGTATACCATGAGCAGTCCATGCCAGCCGGTGTCGAGGTTGGCATAAAGCACATTCTGAGCAGAGCGCTCATTGGTGGGTTCGATCACCTGTTACCGACGACACGTGGACTCTGACTTTTCTTATCTTTGCTTTCAACCCCCCTTTGTATCCTGTGCATCAACTCGCTGGACTGGGTTTTCGTGACTCGAGGGACGCTTTTAAGTTTGCTCATCCCTCAGTATTCCGGCGGATTCTCAAAGCTTGCCACTTTGTTCCGATTTGAGTCAGGTCAGGCTATCCAACAAATGCAGATTCTTATCAAGAGTGTAGGAAGAACTCGTTGTGCCCTTTAAGCAAGCAACTGATCAAGCGTCCCTTTTTGTTCTTGCGGCAGACATGCTCCTGCTTCGCGGGAATGTGGAGTCAAATCCTGGACCGCCAGCTACAGACGAGCAGGCGCGGGTTGACGGTAAGCTTTTGCAAATAGCAGATTACTTTTGGAAGGTACATGACGTCATAGATTGAAAGGCAAAAGATCAGAGGATCATCCGACTGCACTTTTCAATAAGTGTCGAGTGTGGGTGGGTAGCTCTGAAAAGCCTCCAAAACTGCATCAGTCGAGTAAGGCTCGGCCTCCCATACTTGCTTATCGATCATATGAGTCGGGCTCATTTGAGTTAAGGCCGTCGAAGTTTTGAACAGGTCTCCAAAGGATCACAAATCACAGGCAAGGAAGATACGCCTCCTTAGTCAACTATTTGCGCCTGGGTTGTCACTTCCTACAGGTTTTGTTGAAGACGACTACTCGTCTGAGGACGAGCCACTGATTCGCCGCACTACTCTCAGCAATCCTGCTCGGTCCACACAACCAAGACCATCGACCGGGGCCACGTCGGAGCTACCCAATTGGCAGACGGGGTGTGCAAGAAGTAGGAGTCGACAAAGCGGCCAGCGTGGCAGAAGTGGCGTCTCTAGATTGCCTTCAAATGACGTACGCCAGGAGCATACAGGTGACTCGTTTCATCTGTGCTTCTGTCTTTCGGGCTTTTTCGATTGTTCCAAGCTTTCGTCCTGCGCTTGTTAGGTGTCGCCTCCTCGGGGTCCTCTCGAGCTCCACTCTTCGACCTCCCTTTCTGAGGTAACATCCTTTTCGGTGGTGCTAAACATGTCATTCTCTCTTTGCCAGCTGTTAAGCTCTCCATTTGCACCCGACATTGAATCAACCAGGAATCGGTCACCAACTCATTAACTCCGGGCAATTGTTCTCGTTTTTTTTTCACTCTTTGAGTCATGTCCTTCCTCCAGTTTCCTTCACTCCTTGATTCTGCTCGTTGCAATATTCCATTGCCCTCGCATCACTGCTTTCTTCCCGTTCTTCTTTCTCTTTCACTTCATCCATCACCTTTGCGTTGGGCTTGCTCCTTCTTCGGCTTCTTTCCTGAGCTTCTGCTCCGGCTGAGTGCACCGCCTACTCCCTTTGACCTTTTTAAACTGATCAGTCCTTCTTGGACATGCAGGCGATGTCGGGAACTCGCCCCCGACTGCCAATCCCGATGGCGATCACCGATCTGCAACCGAGTGGCCAATTCAGCAGGCTGCTGCTGTGGCCACCGGTCCCACAGCACCGGGAGCAGCTGCTGAAACGGGACATGGGCAGCGCTCAACCCGAAGCAGGGGGCGTGGTAGGGGCAGAGGATCGGGGACTCGGAGACAAGCAGGCAGCCGGAAGCAGGGCGTTGGTCGGAAAAGTGGGACGAGTATCCTGGACACAGCGCTTGCGAGGCCCACGGATGGGACTGGCAATCAGCCGGGGTCCGAGGGGGTTGCTAACGCACAGGATCGAGAGAATGCGGAAAGGCAAGGGGTTCTTGGAAGAAGAGAGCAGAATTCGGAGTGCGTCGAAGAGGACACGGAGGAGCGAGCTCAAGAGAGGCACGTTGCTGACGCCCGCTGGAATGCTGCAATCAAGAAGGACGCCAATCTGAAGCCGAAGAGCAAGAAGGACTACATTCGAGGCCTCAAAACTTACAAGGTAATATCTGTAGGGAATCAAAATTGACCATATGATTGATGACTTGAGAATCCTCTTCCTGCTCTTTCGTCGCCGCGTGCACGACACGCCTGCCCATGTAGAACTTAAGTGCAAAGTCAGGACCAGGTTCATCTGATACAGGTGAAATGCGGACTCTAGCGATTGTATGAGACGTCTAGTAAGAGTTTGAACGGGGGGTCAACCCCGCCTGCGTTATCCAGCTAATGAGCCTTATAGATGCTTCGTCTCTGTTTCTATGTTTCTTATGGTGTGAGAACAAAGCCAATTGTATAGCCGTATATTGACCTCCAAAGACAGGTTACCGGAGGCGAAATTCAGGGTGTATCAAGGCATTTGCTGGCCTTACTCATGCCGTTTCCTGTACTCGCGCAGCATTTCTGTGTCCAACACGGATATGGGAGAGACGATGGTGACTGGGCTCCCGCCAGATCTGCGGCAGTCCTCAAGAAGCTGGGCGGCAGTACGTTGCCTCTCTGGGCATCAGGCCCTCGAATTACGGTGGACAGAATTGCCTTGGCTGTCGATCTGGTCGAAAAGCTGAACGATCAAGATGAAATGGTGAGTGATGACATCAGCAAGCGCATGGCATGAAGTTTTCTTCACGCTTGTGGCATCGTTCCGTGTTTCTTGCGATTGTCTAGTTTGGTTGTGCTGAGCGATTGTTGCGCTTGACTGCGGGCTTATTTGTCCTTAAGAAGATATTGGCAGAATGGTTCCTGACAAGTCTCCACAAGAAAGGCAGGCTATGTAGCAGCTCAATGCTTTGAAAGGACCCTTCTGCATAACCATATGTCTTCGAGCAGGCTCTTAGACGTTTCTCTTTTCACTGGAATCTATGTGAAGCACGCAACCGATCTTTCATTGCCGCTCCATGTAGTCCATTGGCGTCGTCCAAAACTTCTGCAAGGCACTGCAATTTTACGCCATCGTCCAAGACTTCCTCGAGGGTATACATACCTCGAGCATGGACGTGAGAGCCATCCATTCGATGCAAGAGCTTTTGAAGTGTGCAGCTGGCAACACTGCCAACAAGAAGATTCGGTGAGGGTACAACATTTTGATCGATAAGAGAGCCGCTCGAAGGGAAGAACCCCCGATCACTGCAGCCTTTGACCGCAAAAAGCTGGAGCCTTTGCAATCGCAACGTGACCAGGCATGTTCAGTTGCCCTCCTTAGAAAATACGGACAAAGTCTCGATGCTATTGACTTGGGCGCGCCCTCTTCGCTTGCAAGCTTCCAAAGACCTTCAACATTCAGATCCCAAGACTGGGTCCCAGCAGATGGCTTCACTATAGCTAGAGATTCAAACGACTCCGCTGATCATGCTTGATCTTCGATGTGCAGCGCATGTGCAGACCGACAAGAAGGTACAGAATCGGACGGATACACCGAGGAAGAGAAGCTCCGCTTAGCGCAGGCTTGGCTTGCGAAGGGGACCAGGTTGGTGTCTGGTGACGCTGAGGGAGAAGACGGTGATGTTCATCAGCACACCACCATGAGGTGAGTAAGCTGGGCCCCGCAACTTAGAACTGTGTGTCTTTTTCTAGCAATCTCTTGTGCGGGAACCTTGTCATCCTGAGATAAGACTGCAGCCAAGTGATTCAAAAAGCGCGGTCAGATCAATGGGTTAGCAGCTGCCTTAATCCGCGTATTGCCCTGGCAGGATAGGATGAATGAAACACTTGCGCCCAACGGTCAAAGATAACGGGACGTCCTCGTTCCCCAAAGGCAAGGCATGATACACGAAGGCACACTGTCCACAAATCCAAGCCGGCGTCACAGGACTGCTGTCTTTAAAGACGTCGTTTACAATACCATCGGACTTATGATTTCGAAACTTCTTGCAGAGGAATGTTCCTGACCTCTCACCAGTTCTGCCTCCGCGGCGATGATGCTCGGAGTATCGACTTGCCTGATCTGTACTCGAAAACGTACCGGCATGTCGGGCCGGACGTCCCTTTGTACGTGGGCGGCGTGAGCTACTCGGGGAAGACCAACAAAGTGAGAGCTTATACTTGAGTGCCCGAGGCTGAGTGGCTGAAAATTTGTCATGCTTCTCGGAAAAGATCGAAGATTCCTAAACCGTTGAGTCGTCTATGTTTTCTGGAACAAGTAGACTCTTGAAATGCACGCGAACAGTTGCGAGAACGGTCTAGGAACTCTTTGGAAAGATCCTGTGACCCGACACTGTTGCCCAACCCTTTCATCGCAGAACGGGCGTCTGGAGTACTTCGGTGGCATCCGCCACATGCAGGTCGAACAGTGTGCGGTTGGGGCGGTCGCCATGCAGCTTTTTCAGACGTTCCATTTGTTGGGTGCCGATGCCCCTGACTTCAGCAGCAGGGAAAGCTGGTGGGTACTTCTTCGATCTGATGCACTCATTGTGCTTCGCCAATTTTGCTCACTGTCGATCACGAGCAAGCTTTTGTACCTTCAAAGAACAGCCGCTTCTAGAGCCGGTTACAACGTAGTAGATATGATATTCTGTCTTTTGGAAGAAGAATCTTGACGTCGAAGACCGATAAGGCCCAAGGTTACGAGTTTAGGCCGTGACGTTTTGCAATTTGACAAAGCATCATCCTTCAGAAGGAAAGCATAATCCTTCAGGAGTTGGGTTCCCGCTCTTTCTGGCTAGCTTGCCGTTGTACGGGCTTTATCGCAGATTTGCTCACTCGGTTCTGAGGTTTTTCGCAGGTACAACTTGCGTCCTCTCTTCTACGAAAATGATGACGTCAGCAGGAACGTCACGTACAATACGCAGCTCAAGCACTTCAAGCAGGCGTACGGCGAGCAGGAGATTGTATCCAGCAAGCTTACGCATGCGCCGCGCGGCGCATCAGTGCGGCATGCTGAGAATAACGGGTGAGCATTCACACCATTCGGGACTTTTCGAAAAAAATGTTACCTCGTCAGAATGTCAATTTCAAGCTCAAGCTGCCCCGCAACCCGATAACCGGTCGCACTTGCGTGTTGCTCTGGATGCACGGGCAGAGGAGTGTCAAGAGTGCAAGGTCGTCAGTCCAAACTGAGTTCTTGAGGGCGTGCTTCTCGTCAGCCAAAGCCAAACCTTCGAGCATGACTGACACCACAAGTCTGCAATGATGTTTGGGGTCCCGCCGAGATGATCTCGGGAAGGCGTTAATTACAGGGCTCTCGACCAAAGATTACTGATCAATCGTCTCCATAATTTCTCTGCAGCGGCAAAGAAGCTGAGAGTGCTCGGCTCGGCCGTTGGATCTACGATCACTTCCGGACTTCGTACCTGCACCAACTTCCAGTCGGGATTATGCTTGTCCAGGCGGGATTCAAGGACGACCGCAAAGGGTACTTTTTCCCACGTGGTCGGGTGCTCCCCTCAGAGGACGAGTACCCGGGTTTGGCGAAGCAGATCTTTCCCTGGGCCGACGAGGAGCTGCGGAAGGTGAAGCAGGTATGTTCCTTGATACTTGTTGGAAGACTTTTGATGGGTTCCAAAATGAATCGCCATTGGACATCAGTGCACGTGTACAATGATCTTGCTGCAGTTCCGCTTCCTCGGAAATATAACCCACTGATATTTCTTCTAGCGAGCATTCAATCTTCATTTGCAGAGGAACCTAACAGGGCCAGCCAGTCAGCGCGACATCGCCGCGCAAAAGTTCCTGGAGCTGCTCATCGAGTTGCGGGCGGTGCTGCTGCAAGACGTGGCACTCCTCCAGCGGATGGGGAGATACGAGGACCATCCAATCATCTACCACCACTTCTTCGAGGGGGAGGAGTGGGACAGGTTCTGCGACGCTGTAGAAGCGGTGTGCAACGCGCCTGCTCCTCCTCCCGAGCTCGCAAACATCCCCCCGGAGGTGAGTAGAGTAAGCGCATCAAGTTTCGCTTTGCTTGGTGGAACAAGATGTCAAGCATGAACTTCGTTTCCTGTTTCGAAAGGTGGGCGCTTAGTTTCAGTCTTCTTGATGACAAAGCGCGCTTATGCAGGTCTTCGGCTGTCTTCAAAAGCCAATCCGGTACTTTAAGCAGTGATGTCCTGATTGAAAACCATAAAGAGTCACGTTTCACATCCGCCGAACATGCTCCCATTTTTTACTTTACCAAACATGACTCCTTGCACTAAAGATTAGACCCCAGCCCATTGCTACATCGCCAGCCAGCTCTCTATCGGCAACCAGGATCTCTCGGACCTCAGCATAAAATGAGATGAATTCAAATGCGCGAGCCAGCTTAGCACGAAGCCGAAACTATTTTTCGATGAAGCCCGCTTGTCTTTGCAGGTGGTTGCCGTGTTGCAAGATCAGCAGGTGCAGCTTGCGCGCATCGAGCGCGAGTCGCAAGCCTCAAGGGAGCGCGAGCAGGCCCTGCAGGGCCAGATGTCCGCCGTGCTGCGCGTGCTCGAGCGGCTTGTATGCGCGTTTTCAGGCGCAGACGAGCAGCCAGCGTCGCCGGCCCCGTCGGCCAGACCCGCTGCACATTCGCCAGTAACCCCCGAGCCTCGGCGGACGACCACAGGGTTTTTTGCCCGCCCTCCGTCGGCGCCTGTCGCGGCCGCTGCAGAAGCGGCTCTTCGAGCCGCTGCTGTGGCAGCACGAGCGGCGGCGGCAACACACGCTGACGCCGAACAAGCCAGTACTCCCCCTCAGAATGAAAGCGGGTCAACGGGTGACGTGGCATCCAGACGTGCGACTGAAGCGGGCTCCCTCTCCGCCGACAACGACGAGATGGATCTTGAGCCAGGTCGGGCATCTTTCGATCCTTTTGCAATTGATTTTCGTCTTCTTTTCGGAGTCAAGTGCTGGGCGGGAAAAAGTGTCCGTCGATTGGAGCCGCAATAAGGGCAGCTCGTCGAAGCCGTTTGAGAAGGCCTCTGATCGGGGAATCGTTCCGATTGCGCATTAGCTAAAAGGCTTCAAAGGAATTTGAGACTTTCCGAGCTCATTCGTCTTTCTCGAAAAGATTAAACGCCCTCGTCAATCGAACGCGAAGCGCCAGGATGCGGACGAAGTGAAGGTACAGGGACCGGATAACCGGCCGATTCTCATACGATTCCAGGAAGGAGCTCAAATTGTGACTTCTTTGCCCACAGATTTAGGATCCTTTTCTCGTCCGTCGTCGGCTCCTCTCGCGGCCGCGGCTGAAGCAGCTCTCAAAGCCGCTGCCGAAGCAACACAGGCGGCACCTGCGGCTCACGCGGCAGTTGGTGGGGCCAGCACGCAGAATCAGGACGCGCTGAGCGACCAGTGTGATCACGAGACACGTGGTCCAAAGACAAGATCCTGGATTACGGAGACCGTCGGGGAAACCGTGGAGCCCGAGACAGGTAAAGCGAACTGAACCACGCATACAAGTAGATTTTATACTGGTCAGGTCGATTCGTTTTGCAGGTTCGTTTGGCCGCCCAAGTGCAACGAGGTGCTGCCGGTATCTTTTTAGACAAGGGATTCGAGAGGCTGCAGTAGTCCTGGACTCCCAGTTGCCGTTGTTAACTAGGATGATTTTGTTCTGAGCCACCGTTCTAACCTAAGGACTCCACGCACATGTGCTGGTCACTCACCCAGAAAGCTGCACAAGGTCAGGATGGTAGCGGATGTATCGGACGCAGAAAGAGTCTTTGACATTTGCTTCAGGTCCGGATTCCTTTATCCCTGGGTGTCCGTCGGCTCCTTCAGTTGCGGGCGCTGAGGAGGCGGCAGTGAGAGCAAGTGCTGCAGCCGCAGCGCAAAATGCTGACGCGCGACCTGCCGAAGCCCACGTGACGAGCCCGGAGCAGGACGTAGGCTTTAACCCCGCACAAGCTGAAGGGCTGACTTCACAAGGCGCGACGGTTAGAGAGGAGACGGCTGGAGAAGGTTAGTTGTTTGTTTCATTCGTCAGTGTCCTTCAATAGGGTCCTTCCGAGCGAACGGTCAAATATGGAATGATGCTGATCGCGGCAAAGAACGGCGCACCTTACTGCTGCCCTTTTCGTGAGTACTCCCTTGCTTGAACCAGGCTGTTTTCAAACCTACTCAGTGCGTATGTCAAGGCAGTGTTACCCTGCCCTCACTAAACCACGGTGAGGGCTAGTTTCGGCCTCGATGCAAGCTGCGGACTGACTGAGCTTTCTTGATGAAGTTGCTTAGACGGTCGAAACACTTGTCAAGCTTCTCGAGTGGACGCCCAAACGCAAGAAAGTGCAACAACAGTTCTTTGTTGTTTGGAAACACCTTTGGAATCTCGCTTTCTTATGATCCTGCCTCTAAGGTATAGACGGAAGTGTCGAGCGTTACAAAGCACGAGATGCGTCGATCTCGGACATCCTCAAATCCAAATCCGACTAAGAGGAATCCGTAGGATGAGATCTGACGTCGTGCTTTCATGTGAGCAGGTTTGCATGAGTCGGGGATGTCCGAGATGTTCCAACAGTGCAGGACTGCCTGATTGCAAGCGATTTCAGCTTCCTCATCAGGTCAAAATGCGTGGAAGAAAGTAAAGCTTTGTGCTCAATTCGTTCAGTCACGGTAGGACAGGTCGAAGCCGCTTGTCACCTTCAGCGCAAAGCAAAAGGGTTACTTTGCGTTAAGAGTGCATTGACGGGCCGGTATTCAAGTGCTTCTGAGACGTGGCTAACTTGAGTAACTTGAGTTGAACCGTTGAATTTCTTGTCTCTAGGTATGGACTACGTTTCCCGTCCTTCGTCGGCTCCTGTCGCGGCCGCGGTTGAGGCGGCCCTCAGAGCCGCTGCCGAAGCAGCTCAATCTGCTGCCGCGCACGCTGCAGCCGACGCGGCCGTCACCCAGGATCCGGACGCGTTGAGCGGCCAGGACGACAACGAGGCACGTGATCCCCAGACAACCGCCCGGAAGACGGTTCAGCCAGAGACAAGTGAGGGCGAACTTGAAGCATGTGTAGTATCACTGGTCGCCGTCAGTCTGCAGCAACGCTTACCTTGGTATAAGGTCTAAAGAGAGTTTCGATCTTGCCGATGTGGCTGACCGTCGCATCTGATGATTGAGAGTCTTGCCTCAGTCATCCTTGCCATTTGTCGAGCAGATTTTGCAATCGTCCTGAATAGGTCTCAGATTACTTGAGAATGAGGTTCTGCCCAACAAATTCGTCAGGATGGGTCCGCTACTTCGTATCAGACGACCGAAAGATTCTCATCATGAAAGTGTCTGTCGGTTTTAAGATCTTAGTTATCTGTGTTGAATTATTGAGGTACTTCCGCTAGAACGTAAGCCTTAGATTTTTGTGATGCAGGGGGTCCTTCTGAGACATGTTTATTATAACAAAGTCGGCACTCCCTCAACTTGACGCTCTTTTCTCCATTGATCAGGTCTGGGCGAAGGGCTCGACTTCGGAGCTTTTGAGCAGGCGACCGACAAGACGACCGTTCAGGAGGGTGGAATAGAGACGGAGGAAGCGACCGGGGAGGGCTGCCGGCAGCCTCATTCGGAAGTGGAAGGTGCGGAACAGAGTGGGAACTGTCCAGAGGGCCATCGAACAGGACCAGGGGAAAGCGAGGGGGGCGGGGAGAGTGGGACGACTTCACAACCTTGCTCGGAAGGAAACGATAGAGAAGACTCGGGGAGGGAAGCGGGAGCTTTTAGAGGCTTTGGAACAGCAAGCCAAGGCGATGCCGGGGCTAGCCCAAGTGGCTCGGGAAGTGTCGATTTAGGGGCTGCCGATGAGGGAACAATAGAAGATGCTTCGGTAGTCCCCGAGTGGGCTTTAAATTATATGATCGGGAGAAACTACACTTCGGTTGCAGAGGTCTGGCAAGAATGGGCCTACGGACAAGAGGGGTGCCCCATGTCTTTGAGACGGATGGAGGAGCTGTGGGGTACTCGCTGGAGAAGAGGACGGGAAAATGAAAGCAAACGTCTCTCGAAGTTCCGCAAGATTATAAGTTTGGTAGAGATCGTGTTGAGGCAGAGCAATGTAGGTGAGGCTGCAGCAGTGCAAGCCGTTGAGAATAGCATGATTGCATGCGGCATAGATCCGGCGCAGCCATGGAAGTATTGTGAGTTGCTTCGAGAGTCAAAGGTTGGCAATCGTGATGAACAAGATGAGCCCAAGCGGACAGGAAAACGCCGGAAGATATCAAGTCAGTCGGAGTCGAACAGGAAACGCCAAAAGTCCTCAGCTTGATTGACGAATCCATATAGATTTGCAAGCTTACTAACTTTGCGAATTGTAGAACGGAAGGAAAACGTGATAATTGTTCTGCCGTGAATTAGCAAATTCAACAAGCCATTACCGCATACGAGTTGCAAGCCACAACTTGATGGACACAGCGGCAAACTTCGAATGCCACTCCAAATGCATTTGCGTGTACACGCCTGCAATACTGAGGCAGCCTGTTTCGTCCGAAGTGTAGTATGTCAGTAAAACGTCGATTGGACTGAGATTTGAAAGCAGATTGATGCACGGTGAAACCGCAAGTTTGAATGCAATTAAACGCCTCGTTGCATGTGCTCGTGCGCTTGCCATGTGCAGCAAGCATGGTACGTATATGTACTAACGCGTAGTTTCAATCACGTGTCAAACTTAGACTGATCACTAGGTGATGAATAATGAGGAGATCCGAGATCGATCTGCACTGATACTGAACAGCTAGCAATTAGTATAGACTGTCAAAACTTGAAAGCCCATCACAGGCTTGACTTGAATACTACGTACAACCATGGCAATTGCTACATGAAAAAGAGGTCTCGATGAACGAGCACCTAAACGATATCACGTCCAGGGCCAAGTTTGATCGAGCTCAGTGACATGTACGTATGTTCGGCCAGTGGTCTAGGCTTGCAGTTACTTAGACACGAGGCTGTCCTATGCATGACAAGGTGAGGCGTAAATAAAGATGGTTCACCATAGATCTGGCTGACCAACTTGCTAGCTACGAGCTCACTAGCTTAATTTCAAGCGTGACTAAAGGTTCTTCCCCACAAGCCACGATCATCATGCGGGGGAATTGAAGGGTCGTTACTATCTCCGCGGCTCGCACGAAAGTGTTCATGGCCCCTTTCTTCCGGACACCCTGCAGTTCACACAGATGTTGTTCGGAGTGAGATATTGGGCCCACACGAAGCTTCTTTCGATTTCGCCACTTAAGCTTTTACGGCCCCAACCTTTCTTCCCTCAACGGGCCTACTTTTGACAGAGTGGAAGCTTTGAAGAAACGTATAGCAATCCCTGTTAGTAAACGTACATCACAGAATGGATATATTCGAAAGGCAACCAGATTTGCTGTCGATGGACTCGACCACCCTGCAATCTGCTTCATCAACAGTATATCGTGTCGACATCACAACAAGGATATAAATCGTAAGCACCAGGAAAGATAGCTTTTGCGAAGTCTTCCAATTTCAGCCCAAGCCTACGGTTCCGGAGTGAGGAAGTCTATGCAAGGTCTACGCTCACCGTACGGCAGCGTAATGGCCTCCGTTGCTCCGGAAGTGCTACGTTTCGGGGAAGTGCTACATCCTGCACTTCCCGGAAAGTAAACGTTAGCATTGAAGGATCTGATTGGCAGAGCAATGCAGGTACGGGATCGGAAGACGGCTATCCAGTCGGCTTTTGAAGAAAGATTGAACAGCAGTCTTTCAATAAATCAAAAGTCTGTAGTGAAAGGGGCTGAAGCATAACATTCGCTTTCTTAGACCCACGAACAAGCTGAGAAACATTGTCATACGTACGAGAAGCTGAACTACGATATCATCACTACTGAAATCCAAACAAGCGTAAGCCCAATGGTGGGCCGTGTAGATATCCTCTGCCCGCGGCTGGTTTTGAAAGTCTAGGAGGGGTTCTGGATGAGCAGTGACTACTCAGATGCGGACACGATACTTTATACCTGCTCAGGTAGACCAGCCAGATCCTTGAATAATTGTTACCGTTACGAAGTCTGACAAGCTCAAACTAGCAGAAAACGCGGTATTACAGACTATGTTGGAAGGACCGGAAAGCTGAATATTCTATATGTCTATGTGACATTGCAAGTCCAAGTCTGCCAAACCTATTGCTGGGCAAAGCTTATAGCACAGCTGCAAGTAAGACGTCTTTCTTGCGTGCTCAGTTGAGGAGAGATGGGCACTTACAACTGACTATGCCCGAGCTCATCGTGCATTCGCTGAGGAAGACAGACAAATCAGAGCCACCATGAAGCTTTTTGATGAGCTTCTCTTCGTCACTTGCCTTCTTTGCCTTGTACCCTGGTCAGAGCCAAAAGAAGCTCACAAACGCTGCCCTCCATCCTTGATCGACCACAAATGCATGAGGCCAGCTCCCGCCCAGCTGTGAGAGGTTGTTTGAGAAGCCAGTGCATTCCGCTAAGACTGGCTGTAAGCTACATGGCAATGTTGCATAATCACAAGCTCGTGCCAGCATTCACAATCTGTCCGAATTCACTATCTTTCAAATTGCCTCTTAGCTGGGCAGCTGGACTGGCCTACATTTCAGGGCCCTGTCTCTGCAGCTAGACAAAAAGGACGCAACTTCTCACATTCTCAAACTTCCTTGTGCCGCCCATCATGCCTTCAGATGCAGGAGTCAATGCTGCACTCATGCTGCATTTGAGCAACGCGGTGTCCTATGCTCAAGGCTCTGTAGTAAGAGGCGCCATTTATTGAAGATCCTCTTCTCTGAGCAGAGCTGTCCTGTGCTAAGCAATCTGCTTACGTGTCTCAAGGCTAGGGTTCCAGCCCAGGCTGAAAACCCTAATATAACTGATTGCGGCAAAGGGCCGGGCATGCATAGCTTATGACAATCGCTTGGGTTTAACCTAAACACGTCCTCAAGCCTCCAACCGTGCTCTGCTCCTCGTAACCGCCCTCGGGGCATCCGACTGGATGAAATTTCGTAAACTTTATCTCGTGTGTTGTACCGACAAGGAACTTCGCATCGAAAAAACAGAGCCAGGCCGAAGGTCCTCTCGCGGCAGTGAAATGCGACGGTGGACCGCGGTGACCGGTCCGATCGTGCGACGCAGCCCGACGTTTCGCCGCGAAACCGTGCGATACCGGCGGTCCGCCCGCTGAAATGTCATAAACT